CATGCAGTATGCGTAGGCTTTTGTAGGTGTGCAGTGATTTGGTTTAGGGATTGGTTCTAGGTTCAGGATTATTAGGGTTTGAAGTGTATATGTGTCTTGTATGTCTTTTAAAGATCCAATCTTTTTGTGTATATGTGTTGTGATTTGTGATGTAGATATCAGTTTATGTGTATGTGTTTATTGAGGCATTGCTTTTCTTTTGATTAATTTATGTGTATGCTATGATCAACTGATGCATGTACTATGTGCATGTTTTCATGTCTTATACATTGAAGTACTCTGTATTTTAATCTAGGTTCATTTTTAATAACAGTATTTGAATTCCTTTTAACTCATGTAGGTTACAATACTCTTGTAGATATGAATATAGCTTGCTGTTTTAAAATGTATGCAAGTTTAGTTTGATGTAGATGCAAATTTTTAATTTGTACTGTGAGGTATTGTGAAGTTCATATATGTTGTGAATGCAGTATGATATTTATGCATTTTCATATAGATTGATTTCCTTTTGTTGATATTGTTGTAAATATGTTGTCATAAATGGTTCTATAAATGTTGTTGTTGTGTAATGAGTGCAAGTTTATGTTTTAGGAACTAGGATTATAGTTGATATTTGACGAATCCTTGATTGTGTAGTTATAATAGTGAATTGAGTCTTATATTCGTTTAATTAATGTAGCTTCATACCTTTTGTCCATAACAATATATCTAGTCCCAGTAACTTCTAGGCCAGGATAGCAAGATAATAGTGAACTAGGCTTAATATGATTTTTTTTGCTGTTGTGAAACGTGTGCAAGCTTAGTATCATGAGTATGCAAGTTTGATTGTTTTGAATTTAGGTATCACGTTTTTTGGTGCAATTATTGTTGTTCAATATACATATATTATCATTGAGCCTACTATAAATCTTTCCTGTTGTGTAATGTGTCCAACTTTAGTGTAATGAAAATGCAAGTTTAGGAATTTTGTTTTAGGTACTATGTTCCAGTTGATATTGATGTTAGTGTAGTTTAAAATTTTATTCATTTGTTGCTATTATAGTTTCAGTTGCAAATTGAGTTAGGTACTCCGCCATCCTTTTGTAGGTATGAAATGTATCTTGTTGTTGTCAATTATGCACAAGTTTAGTTTGATGTACATGCAAATTTTTAATTGTACTGTAAGGTATTGTGAAGTTCATATAGGTTGTGAATGCAAGTGGTATTGTGCATTTTTCAAATAGGATGTTTTCTTTTCTTCATATCATTGTAATTATATTTTCATCAATGCTAATATATAAATTGTGTTGTTGTGTAATGTGTGCAAGTTTTAGTATCATGAATGTGCAACTTTTTAATTTCAGTATTTGAATTTTAGGAATTATCTTTTACATACTAGGATTATACTTGATATCACTAAGATTAATATGAATCTTTGCTTCTGTGAAAAGTTTGTAACTTTAGTATTATGAGTATGCAAGTTTTTTTGTGAATTGACATTGATGAATCTAGGTTGTTATTGTTTCTATTGCGAATTGAGTTAGGTACTCCGTAATTCATATAGATTGAAATCTTTTCATGTAGATAAGAATGTATATTGCTGTTGTAAAAGGTGTGCAAGTTTAGTTTGGTGTAGATGCAAATTTATAATTGTACTGTGATAGTATTTATATTGTGAGCTATTGTGCATTTTAATGTAGGTTGATTTGTTTTGTTCTTATCATTGTAATTATATTTTCATCAATGCTACTGTAAATATTCATGTTGTGTAATGTGTGCAAAAATTTCAGTATCATCATCGTGCAACTTTTTGAATTTGCAGTATTTTGAATTTTAGGTACTAGGATTATAGTTCATCTTTTTTATGAACCCATTATAGTATTTTTATAATTGTGAATTCAGTGTTATATTTCTGTAATTCATGTAGGTTGAAATACCATATCAATCTATCTGGTCCTAGTAATTTCTAGGATAGGTAATGACCAAGCTTTTGATATGAATCTTTGCTGTTGTGAAAGGTGTGCAGCTTTAGTATCATGAGTATGCAAGTTTTATTGTTTTTATATAGATATCAGGTTTATCATTGAGCCTACTATAATTCTTTCCTGTTGTGTAATGTCTGCAAGTTTTATTATTATGCAACTTTTATTTTACGTATGCTTTCCCATTGATATATCAAGAGTTTATGCAAGTTTAGTTGCTTAGAGATGCAATTTGCTTAGATTTAATCATTTTATTAGGGAGCTTGTTAATTCCAGATATTTCATTTTTTAAGTTATCCATGTAGAATAACCCTATGTTTTTTTACAGTATGGTTTCCCTGTTTGTCGTTGTCCTGGTGCTCCATGCTTTCCATTTGTGCCAGCCAATGATGTCCCTGAAGTTTTCGATGTTGTCCTTGATGAGTACACTACTAGGAAAAGGCCTACTAATGGCGCACCAGTTTTGCCTACTAATGGCGCACCACCGGTGCGCCATTAGTAGCACGCCATTAGAATTTTTAACTAATGGCGCACCACTGGTGCGCCATTAGTATCTGGTATACTAATGGCGCACCTGGCAGTGCGCCATTAGTGTGTAACTCCATGCGCCATTAGTATGCCTCCCGGGGGGCCATATGTAACCATGTGCTTTGTCACACTAATGGCGCACTCTGCCTTGATGCGCCATTAGTATCCTTTGGCACACTAATGGCGCACTCTGCCTCGATGCGCCATTAGTATGAATATTTGTTTTTTTTTGAATATTTGGTTTTTTTTTTTTTTTTTGCTTTTCTGATTTTTGCACAGGTTACAAAATATATTATTGGACAGAATATAGACAGCAGCACACATCAACATCAGATTCATCAAATACAATAGAAGATTAGTCTCCGAATACAATTCATCATATTAGTCTCCAAATTCAAAAGACCGAACAAAGATAAAACGTTACAAGTCTCAAGACAGCGAGTATCGAGTTTGTCTTCACATTACAAGTCGATATCGATCATCTAAACTACCATCACATAAAAGAGAGTTGTGGTCATCACGATGAGCATCATCGCGATCAAACTGGTCCTCATCCGGTTCCTCCAACGCTCCCTCCTCTCTCCCGCTAGATAGCGGGCATATCTAGATTCGGCCTCCGCCCTAGTGGTGTACCCTTTGTAACTGTTACTGCTGAAACAGTGAACCTGTCTCCGACACTCCTCCCAGTCGTCGTAGACTCCGGGAACCTTACCCTTGTACTTGAGTGAATTCCTCCTTGACGGTGCGGAGCGCATTCGGACGCCGGTCCTTCCTTTGCTTCTTCGATTGGCTGCCATCTGTGTGTGCGCCGCCATCATCAGTGGTGGCATCCTCGGCGGCACCATCAGTGGTGTCATCCCCGATGCCACTAGGGGTTGTGTAATCATTATCGGTGTCTTCCGCGGCGTCCTCATAGCGGTGAGGTTGTTCCTCCATCTCCTGGGACAGCTCCCAGAATTGCTTGCCGCCCGAACCATCGGCCTCATTGTTGTGTGCCATGTTTCGCTCTAAATAGGAAAAAGTTTGGTCAAAAAGTTGGTTATTGTCAAGGAACAAGATCATGGTCTCATCATTTAGGGTTTGTCGACATCAAGGAACCCTAAAAGCCTAAGCTTTCATCATTTAGGGTTTGTCGACGCCGAGGCACCCTAAAAGCCTAAGCGTACATCATTTAGGTTCTCATCGACAGCGAGGCATCCGTGGCAGCCAAGTTAAGTTTTCATCATTTAGGGTTTATCGATGTCGAGGCACCCTAGGTTGGGCCTAATCACTTGGCACTAATCACTTGGCTCTATTTCCACCTATGTTGGGTTTATCATCTAGGGTTTATCGATGCTAAGGAGAATTCTAAGTTGGGCCTAATCACTTGGCTCTATTGCCACCTATGGTTTAATGCAGCAAGGAAAATTTCAGCATGACCTTTGCTGAAAATAGGACATATGGAGTACCCGAATTTGCCGGAACGGAAGTTAATCAACATTCCGACAAACTCAAGGGCCTCTCGGGGTACCTGCAAATTCATCACGACACGATGGTCGGAGACATGACCTTTGCAAAATGGTCGGAGACACGATGGTCTTTCTCAATGTGATCAATTGATGGATCAACACATAAAACATGTCCAATAAGTATGATTTATAGAGTCAACATCAGTATGAATATATATAAAGTTTTTCTTCATCAGCCATGCCCATGCAAGTAACTGCATCAGTATGAATATATATAAACAAGCAAAGAATGCATGCAAGTTTAAAGTAAAACATTTCAGTTAATGCAAGTACTCCTCTTGCTCTCTACTTTCTCTCTTCTCTTCTTCACTTAATTAACTGAATTTTACTGATGTTGTTGTTAACTGAATTTTAATCAGCTGCTGAAGAACACCTTCAGTTTCGTCAGATATAGGTGTAGTTTTCAGAAACAGGAGGGCCCATGTCTCCCCTCCTGGACGTTTCAGAAACAGGAGGACCCACGTCTCCCCTTGAAAGGGCAGGACGTTTGAGTTTTCGAGGCAACTCCCCACGTCTCCCCTCCACTGGCAACTCCCCACGACGCAGAGGGGGTTTTCTTCCCACGTCCAGGTAACTCCCCTCCTATTCCATTGCCGCTCCATCTTCCTCCCTCTGCCTCCCTCCTCATTCCACTGCCGCTCCATCTTCCTCCCTCTACCTCCCTTTGCCTCCAGCATCAAGCAACTCCCCTCTGCCTCCACCATCGCTGGCCAGGAGGGCAATGGCGGAGGAATCGTGGAGCAACTCCCCTCCGTCTACCAAGAGAATGGCGGAGGCATCATGGAGCAACTCCCCTCCGTCTGCCAAGCATCACCGTGGTGAGGCGTCTGGCAAGGAGCCGCTGGTGGTCGACGACGATGTTCCGGTCCCCGGGCAGAAGCGGGACTACACCGTGCCGCTCAAGGTTGATATCCACCTGAAGGAGCCGCTGGATGTCGTATGCACCAGCAATCCAGACGAAGCCGACAAGGTGATCCGCAAGATGAGGAGGAGGCTCGGCGGCATGCTTCCTTGGAATATCGGCGTTGATGTCGAGTATACCAGGGAAGACAAACCTCCGCAAATTGCTGCAGTTCTGCAATTATGCGTGGAGGATCTCGTCCTGGTATACCACATCACCGCGGCAACCAAATGGTAAAAACATCCAGTTCTGAAGTTTCTGTCTAATTAGTAGTTTCTGAAGTAGATGCAATAGTTATGAAGTTCTGAAGTAGATGCAATACTAGTTCTGAAGTTCTGAAGTTTCGTTTTAATTAGTAGTTTCTGAAGTTTCTGAAGTAGATGCAATAGTTCTGAAGTTCTGAAGTAGATGCAATACTAGTTCTGAAGTTATGAAGTTTCTGTCTAATTAGTAGTTTTTTGGTGATCATACAGAATGTTGTCTAGAAGTTTTTGTGATCATTTAGTAGCTGTTATGAATGTTGTCTTGTAATGCAAAAGATTGCAAAAAAATACATCATTGAGATGTTATGCTTGCTGTTTTGATCATACAGAATGTTGTCTTGTAGTTGTTGTGATCATTTAGTAGTTGTTGTGATCATACTGTTTTAACTGAATTTTGGTCAGAACTGAAGATGCTATTTTAACTGAATTTTTCTTCAACTGAACCCATTTTAATTCTGTAGTTTCTGAAGTTTTTGAAGTAGATGAATTTGATGCACCAGATTAATTTGATGCAGGCCCAAGGAACTCCGCCCGCTCCTGCAGGAGAAGAAGCTGTACACCTTTGTTGGCTTCTCCATTGGAGGCGACAAGGAGAAGCTGAAGTTGTCTGGTTTAGAGATCAACCCCGACAAGTACGTCGACTTGCAGCGCAAATGGAGAGTTCCAAACAATGGAAAGAAGTGGCAGTCTTTGGCTGAGTTTGCAGGCAGCCTCATCCACCCATCCTACAAGGAAATGAAGCAGAAGATCAACAGGAAATCGGACCACCTACTATGGGGGGACAGCCCACTGCCAAACAAGCTCATCGAGTACGCCGTGAAAGATGCGTACGTCTCCTACGAGGCATGGAAGAAAATCGAAATCACCAAAGAAGGTTTGGAGCTATGGCAAGAGGCGGAGGATCATTGGGATGACCCCTACTACTGGGGATATTGAGTTATTTGTGGTATTGGGATGACCCCTACTACTGTGTCTCAGTTTGTAGTTATGTGGTTGAACAAGTTTGCTTTTGTTATGTTGAACAAGTTTGCTTTTGTTATGTTGAACAAGTTTGCTTTTGTAATGATGAACAAGTTTGCTTTGGTTGTCAGTTGACATCACTCATCGCTGAGCATGGTTTAGTTTTACCTTTATCTATTTATTATTTAGGCAGAGCTATTCAGGCATGGAAGATATAATCATCCTTATGGTGAGGATCGCAATGTTTTTAGCTTCCAAGTTTCTAATGACACATGATCTTTCCAACCACATAACTTAACTGCAAACATTTCCCCTGTAAATTGTAGTTACACATTCCAACCAATACCTGCAGGTTGTAATTTCATACTGAATGACCATCAATGACTAAGTGAAGCAAATAATTGCTATGCATTTCTTGGCACGCGAGAAGGAAGAGGGGAGAGGAGGCGGAGCTCACCGGGGAGGCGCAAGGAGGCCCTGCGACAACTTAGTAGCAACAGAGGTGGCCGAAGTTGAGGAAGACAGCGGCGACCCGAGGAAGAAGAGGTGGAGGGGGGGTGGAGGGGTCGAGCGCCGTCACGCCCTGGTTCCGCGGCTCGCCGGCCCGGTGTTGAAGCAGATTCTGCCCACCGCCTTGCCTGTCACCTCGCACGGTGGAGCTCGAGGGCTGGGAAGTTGAGG